AAACAGTGTTTCTTTCACGCCATCAATTGCTGGTAGATGGTATAACTGTTTTGAGCTAGCTTAATGTTTTAAATAAAGGCAGATGATGATTGTTCAATGACTTCAAATAATGATTTCCTTCGTTTATGAAGAAAATTTTGCAATCAGAAATGTTGTATACATATTAGTATACAGAAAAAAATCTGTATATACTGTATATATATATATATATATATATATATATATATATATATATATATATATATAAAGCATATATCTAATAATTTATCCATGTAAACAGAAATTTAGTGAAATCATTCTCTGTCTCGAAATTTTCTGGAAATTTTATTTTCATGTTTCAATTAGTAAAAAATTAATTTATTAAAACAATGCAATTCACTCAGATTTCAATTCATAAAACTGAGAAATACTTTTCTTAATTGGCTAAATAAAAACCTATTAGAATTATGTAAAATAATATTCATGATCATTTGCAGCTGATCACAATAACTAAAAACTTAGGTATTTTTTTTTATATGAAAAAGTACGGTGTTTTCTTTTAATATACTGTACATCAAACTTTTCCCGATTTTTCCCTTATGTGAAAGAGAGAATACTACTTTAAATGCTAGAACTAAGAGCCCCCCTTCGCCTCTAAGTTAATCCGCCACGTTTTCCCCGACCTTGTAGGTAGGAGGGTCCACGACCTTGCCATTTAGAGGTCTTATATATAGTTGCTCCTCCTCCTCCTCCTACTGGACTTTACCTTTCGACGCTAAGGATAACAAAGCATTATAGCGGCTAGGTAAAAAGTAGATAAAACCTGATGTTAATTTCTATTGACGTTAAAACACAGCTAAAGATTGAATAAGATCAAAGGTCGCTAATTAAAAAAAATGAAAAAATAAAGTTTACGAAAAAACTTTCTTTCTAAAAAAAATTCCATTAATGTCAACGAAATTTGGCAAACAAACTAATTAGCACACTTTTTTTATATTATAAATATAAATCTCTATACACACTTTTTGTCTATCTTCTTTAAAGAGAAATTCGAATACAATTCAACTTTTTACAAACAATGATCGAGTACTACTTATTCTATTCATATATACTTATAATAAAATTTTAATCGACCGTCGCGGCTTTACTTCATCTCCGTGACAAAGCTGAAAATATTGCATGACCTATTTCTTTTAGACCTAGTTTAAATTACTGTCGTCTGTATTGCGTAAAGTAATATTTACGTACAACTAACGAATAAGTTGGCACTTTCAAAAGCTTTACTGGAATTAATCCACAAACTTCTACCTTTTTGGAGATTATCATTAAATGTCGAAAACTTGTCGCACACCAAATCCCCCTTTCCCTTTTTTTTTCTTCATTTTTCTCTTACTTAAGCGTAAAATATCTTTCTCTTATAGAAAAGAAACAAAAAAACAAAAAACAAAAAGAAAACCTTCAACAAGTACGCCATCTACATTCTTTGTACGTAATTCGAAAGTATATACTGGTAGTTTTCCTTCTAGTTTTTGGATTATACAATCCGTTGATGAAGGTTACAATAAGGGGTTGTTTTGGTTGACGTTAATTCAATACTTAAAAAGGCCGACTAGATGACAAACCTAATTGAACAAGTATAATGGTATCATTGAATTCATGAAAATGCTTTTTCAAATATTATTATCGTTGGTGTTTGATTATGATTTTGGAGCTTACCTAGATTGGAGAAAATAGCATTTAACAGTTCAGAAAATGGCGAAAAAACTGTCGCATATTTTACAGGCCTAATGTCTGTTGTGTGCCGGGGTTAGAAATAGGAGATTATCATTAAACATTTCCAAATTGAAATAGAAGTAAACTATTGAAAAACAACTGGAGAAAGTATAGAAATTTTGAATACCTAGAATTCTGTTTAAACAATCCTTACCAATATTTATATTCCCTGTAAAAAAACTGGAACAATAGGGTTTTATATATTTCAAAAGTGTAGCAATTATATCTCGCACTTTATTCTATTGTTAGGAGAAACATTTCTATATTTGGAAGACTTTACCCATTCAGTTATCTTTTTTTTGCTGAACGAAATGAAAGAAAATTCAATATATTACGTCATTTTACGTGTAAATATGATAAGACGAAAGTAATTTAATCATATACTTACTTACTGGAGGATATACTATAGTAATATTCGTTATCTATACCTATCTTAGAGATTATCTCAATGCTAATTTTAGATAACTCTCTACTAAGCTTTGTTCAATACAAATTTTTGAAACTTTGACCTTTTAGCTCTCTCATTTTGTTTTACAACGTTATTTACTCGGTTCTTATACTGTTTTTAAGAGGAAACAAAGAACTCAGTTCAGCCATTTTTGTTTTTACCTCTCTAACATTCTACGATCGTCCAAGTATCTTATCCTCGTTGTTTACACAGAAGATATCGTTGAGCTCTCTTCTAAAATAAGCCGAGGAAAATGATTTCTTCTTACGCCAAGATTATAACAATCATCCTTCTTATAGTAGAAACTGAAAGTTTATTCTTCGGAGGAGATACTAAAACCACAAAAAGACCGTATTATCAGCCACTTCTGTCCAGAGAATGTCCCTTATGGAGAAACACTTGTAACGCTTACAGAAATAGATGCAAATGTCCAAGAGCCGGCTGTGAGAAGTTCCCAATTGAAATCATAAAAAACAAGGGAAATATTACTAATATTGATCTTACACTGAATAGGATATCAATGATACCAAGTTTGGCTGCTTTTCCAAAGTTGCAAATCTTACGGTTGAACGATAATGTAATATCGAAAATTGTATCTGGAGCTTTCAATGAAAATAAAAACCTGCGCGAACTCTATTTGAAAAATAACAAATTGGAAGAATTAAATCGTAAAAATTTTGCTTTCTTTTACAATTAAACATGAATTTTAATAATCAAATTGATTATTCATTTTTTAGCCAAACTATTTAGATATATTAGCGATCTAAAAATCCTCAATCTTGAAGGCAACAAATTGAAAAGTTTGAAGAAAGAAAACTTTCATTTTGCATATATATCAAGATTAGAAGAACTATATCTTGCAGATAATGATATTACTGATATAGGAGAGGATGCGTTCACCGATCTTCCTCATCTAAGGTAGGAAAGAAAATTGATATTTGCCATATTAATTACCCTGCTAACAACTACAGAGAACTAGATTTATCCGGAAATGCATTGCAAACAATAAATAAAGATTATTTTATTGGTTTGTCAAACTTGAAATATCTATATCTAAGAAATTGCAGTATACAACATTTAAATAACAAACCATTCGAAAGTAAAAAATTCAACTTGATTCATCTATTTCTTAAGTTAAAAGGATAATAAAAAACTTTCAGATTTGTATAATTTGAAAAAACTGGTGTTAAGCGAGAATAACGTACAACGAATTAGGCCAAACAGCTTTCATGGCTTAGATGATCTACAAATTCTTGTATTCAATAAAAATCCAATTCAGATACTTCAGGAAGGTGTCTTTGGTCGATTAAGATCTCTTCTTACACTTTTCCTAGAAGATCTTGATATCCAGGAAATTTCGGAAAGATTCCTAAAAGGACCAACTGAAAAGGTTTTATTTTTATGATTTCTTTGTTTTATATCTCCATTTCATATACTTTTTCCCGTATAGTCGTTACAGGCGCTATCCCTCAATTACAATCAAGATTTAAAGATCATCAAGAATTTTACTCTATCTCATTTGGATAATGTTGAAATTACAATTTCTCGAACTTTCTTCCTCTCTAAAATTGAAAGTGGCGCATTTGGTCTAAAGCAAGATTTCAGTCAAAGTAATATAACAAAATTGAGCCTAAATGATAACTCTCTATCAATTATTTCGGTTTGAACAATTTATTTAATCATTATCTTTTGTTGAAGAGAAATTTTTATCTTCCTATCTTTCACTTAGGAAAATCTAGTGGATTGGCAAACCTTACGTCGTTTAGATTTAAGTAATAATCCATGGAATTGCGATTGCAGGTTGAAATTTTTAAGGGATGTCGTAATGGAACGATCTGAAATACATTCTGTAATGTAAGTTTTTAAGCCTATGTCTGTTTAAAAGATGCTTTTGAAATAAACGAATTTCATGTGAGTTTTTTTGTAAACAAGATGCGATATTCCACTTCAATCAAGAGGATTGTCTATGGACGAAATGGATTCAAGCGAATTTACCTGCTCTCATCATACAATGAGGAAGAGAATGAAAGGAATTCTAATTATTAGCGTTACAGTCGGATTCATATTCTTTTCGATATGCCTATTCTGGAGGAAGAGAGAAACGCTTCTTGGATGTTGTTTCGGGAGGAAGAAGCAAGGTTATACTAGAGTAACATTAAATGGAATATCTAAGAAAGAGGAGCTAGTCGAACCGGTAAACGTTTAAAATGGTAATCATAATAAAAATAAATTTAATATAACAAGTAATAACTCTGTTAGAATTATTGAATGAAAGGGTTTTTCTGTGATTAATGAAATGCTTATTTACTTATTTACTACTTTTCTTACAGAAAGAAAGGTAGGAATAGATGTCAATCTCATATTTAATAAAATTCTTTAATGAAAAATCTATCTTGTAGACTTTATCATTTAGTTTAGAGATTTTAATACAATCTAGTAAATATACTTGTACGTTGAAATGAATAGTAAGTTGTTAAATAGGGAATTGGAAGAGATGACTTGGGAATTTTTTTCTATCTTATATAGAACTTGTAAAAGTTTTATAAAACAATTCTTTACCAATCTGACAGATCTGGTCCGTTATTAGATTACTTTGGTTCTGTCAATGAGAATAGTCCTTAGATTTTCCATTAGCTTTTCTTTTTTTTAAAAAAAAAACACTTTTCTTTCTTTTTTTTTTTTAACCAAAAACCTTTCTTTAGGGGAAGAAATCGCTTGATTCACTTTATTTAGCTAAAAGGATGCCGTCTATTATTAAGATAAAAAGTCAATTTTAATTGACGAATTGAAGAAGATATTTCTCAAATTAATAAAATATTATCTACTATAATCTTGTAAAATAAGACATAAAAGGAGCGTTAGAACGCTTACAATTGATACAGTATGGTAAAAAAAAGAAAAAGAAAATATAACACTATCGGAAGAAGACAGACGTCAGCAGCAAATACGACTAGTCACTTTTGTCAAGCTTTATTTCCAAAAAGCGTCACATATCAGAATTTCCGCTTAAGATTTCACGTTTTTACTTTATTCTTTTATTTTTTTTAAATACATCTAAATCGGTCTTTTATTTCGGTTCTAATCCTTTAGAGTATTTTCCTCCGTTACTATGACGATGTATCCGGCTTTTGAATTTATTTTGAATTGATAAATTTTTCTTCTCTATAATCATTTTTAATAAAGATTTTGTATAGTAAATTTTTTTCTTTTATTTGTATTATTTTTTTTTTTAAGAAAAAAAAATAAAGCAATTTAGAAATTCAATGAGCGTTGTAAGTTTTTCTAGTATTACCTTTAAAATAAAGGTATTTATTCCCACGCTATTATTCTTTTACGAAGAGAATTATAGGTATATTGTATTTGTACATGCGTACGAGTATTATTGTCTGTTTTCAATAATAGGACTAACGTAATTAGTTAGAAAGGTTTAAGTAAGAAAGCTGAGCAAAATTTCTTTATAAGTAAAAATCTTGAATATATCTTTTAAGATATAAATTCTTGAAAGATGATTGTTTTATCCCTGGAAAGAGTTAACTCTCTTCTTCGATTATCAGATAGAGTTTGTTTTTTTTTATCACATATGGACTTTTTCTTCACTCTATTACCGTTCTCTTACTCTTTAATGCATTAAATTTTGTATAGGGGAAGAGAAAAGAGAGAGAAAGAGGTAAGAGAGATATTTGTAAATCCAGTAAAAAAAAACTCATACAGTAAGTAGGCTTAATTAGTGCTTTCTTGCTTATTTCTTGTTTAATCCTATACAGGGCTGTCATCTAATTGAAATAGTAATTTCTTTAAAGATTTAGCTTCAATCTCGAATTGATCCAGTTTTTGTAAGATATTTGTCAAAGATTTATTAGTCTTTGAATTTTTATGGAATAGTAAATTCTTGAAGAACATGTCGTTGAAACGTTTCATATTAGTTTTTGCATTACTTCCAATACATCTGCTCCCAAGGCAATTAATATTATAGTCACATTCTCCATCGTCGTTACAAGCCGGTTCATCAACCGTAAAATCATCTAAATCTGTTAATTTGATATGACTATCCTTAAGCAAAAAATGAGAATCTTTAAAATCGCTTATCCTAAGAGATCCCATAGCTGAGTTTTGTAAATAATCAAGAAAATCCGCAAGACTATATGCGGTTGTTAACCTTAATTTCCATGGCCAATTTCGGATTGTTGATATATAGAAGCGAAGGGCATACTCGTAAACAGCAACCACTCCATGTTCGCTAAGTGACGTTGCTTCGGTTTCTTCACCTTTAACGCAGTATCCCACAAGTTTTAATAAATTCTTATGCGATAGTTGCTGGAGTAGTAATATTTCTTTCATTAATTTCATATTAGGAAAGGAGAAGCATCTATGTCTTTCCGAATGGCTTGCTGCGCCATTAGGTGAATTGAGAGCCGCCTTCTTGACACAAGTTTTAACATCTTTAACATTTCTTGTAACCATTTTAACGGCAATTTTCTCTTCAAGATACGAACCTAGGAAGACTTGTTTCGTTACGCCATGACCAATTTTCCTCTCAATTCTAATTTTTGGAATATTGGAGCAATTAAATTTATATCGACTAATCGTTGGAAATGATTCTATATCATTAGCATGCTTTAATATAGATTGTTTTTTCTCAATTTTTGGCGTATAGTCTTCAACACTATCGTAAAGTCCATCTACTTTCGAGCAATCGTCGTTATATGACGCAAAATTGATGACTATGTGCCCCAAAAGAAGAGTAAAAAGGATTAAAAAAGACGCCATTTTCCAATTATATTGTGATTTCATGTTGCTGGAAATACTGCAATAAGCAATAATTACTGCCTAATTGATAATTAATATGGCTATATTATTAGAAAAGTGTACCGAAACCGCTAGTCGTTAATTACTAAAGGGTAGACTAGAAGAATGCTCAAATCTTTCTCTATCAATCACTTCTTACATCTTTTTTCTCGCCGAGTTATTAAAAAAATATCTTAATAAATTTTTCAGCGTCTAATGGGATTGCCGGAAGAGCGTAACGCTTTACAACCAATGCAGACGGCGCTCGAACATTAGCCCCGCAATTTAAAAAAATCTAGTTGGCTATTCTATCGTTGGCCGTGAAAGAATAAATAATCATTCCGCTTTTTAAGTAATATAAATAATATTTGGGTGAACTTGAACGTTCTTGCAAAAAAAAAAAAAGAAAAAGAGAGCAAGAACAAGATTAGAGGTCAACTAGAAGCGTTTGTCTGAATAGCAAATCAGGGAAAGGGGATAACAATAGGTCAAGATAAAAAAAATGTCGGAATAAACATTAAGAATTTAAGCTGGTTAAGCATGGTAACCAAATTTGGGTATAAAAAAAAGCTGTTATAGGACGATTTGAAAGCATTACAAGGGATTAATAGGATAAAGTAAAGTTAAAAAAAATTGGCAAACACCTAATACTTTATAAATATTGGTAGATAGTGTATATAGATATACATGTATATACTGTATAATATGTATTTAGGAGCTTTATTCTGTACAATATATGGATTTTATAGGGTATAAAATAACATGTGATACGTGTGTATCGACATATATACATTATGTATTATACTGTATATATACTTATTTAAATCTATTGAAAATATATATATATATATACATACAAACAAAGCAGGTGTCTAAGAGAAGTAAGCAATTCAACAAGTATTAGTTGGACTAATAAAGCAGCTGCGTGATAGGCTAAGAAGCTATGGAATGAGTCAAATTAGAACAATCAATGACGATTGACTTTCAGAGATCGTATTATACTGTTGAACTGTTCCAAAAAGGATAGGATAAATATCGTATACTGGTTTTGTATATAATTTGCTTCTACCTTTTCGTTAGCTAATCTTCGCTTTATTTACATACTTAAGAAAGCTTTTCTGCTGATGTTTATGATAGATGTTAAGTAAGCTGTAAGAACTTAAATATAAAACAAAGAGTAAAAAATGGGAGAGAGGGGGTAGACATTACAGAAAGAATCGTGGAAAATACTTCAAGCGGAAGATACTTACGTTCAAATATAAAAATTATGTGAGTTGTTGTGTAAAAGTTGATTGGGAGAAAATCAAAGTTAACTTGCTTCGAGCTAAACTGAAAGCGAAATGAGAAAAGAGAGAGAGAGAGAGAGAGAGAGAGAGAGAAAGCAACTTGATGCGCTTCTCGTAGCTGACAGCCAATGACCGAGCTTGAGCGCATTAACAGGAAATGTAGTCATGTTTTATTCATGCTTAAATTCCTTTAACAAAATCTCATTTTAAACGCTTTGTTAAATTTCGTAGGCAAAACAGTTAGCATATACTTTTTACTTCCGTAATTCTGTCGACTTCTAACTACGCTTGGGGATGGAATTTATGCAAGACTAAACAACAACAAGAGAAACAGAGAAATAACGAGAGACTTACATCTATTTAAATATTTAATAAATACAATAAAATGAAAATTATAAACTTTTACAATCTTTCATAAGCCTATACTATAAATATTTAATTCATAACCATAATTTTCGTTCAAGTTTCTCTTTGTCAAAGTGTAATTTAAATGGTAAAACGCTGCTGATTCTATTTTATCATTACCGATTGAAGAGGAAGAAGAAGAAGAAGAAGAGGAAAACGTTGATTTCTTTGTAAATCTATTCTCGTTTGTAGGGTAAATATACTTTAGAAATTAATTATTTAAAATGTAATATTTACAATATAAAAGAATAGAAGTAATAGAAACCTTCAGTTTCAAGCTAATAGTATATTTATAATATACAAAAAACGTCAGAGTATATTAATAGCTATGTATCATTTTCAATGCTAACATCTTTAAGAAGCGAAAGTTATAATACTTTGAATCAATCCGATACGATTGGAAATCTAAAACTATATCATACTGAAGTTAGCATGTATTTCTTATATTCTAACAGAAATGTAAAACTAACTAACTATTCATACGTACTTTAATATACATTTACCTTAAAAATAACCAATTAATTAAACGAAAATATATCAATTTATCAAATTGATTGATATACAATATACTGTATATTGAAGTTGTTTTTTTTTTTTAAAAAAAAATTAACATAATTATTCTATTTATCGATTTAATTACGTTGTAAATTTCTTTTTCTCTTCAAACTAATCAACCAATTGAAAACCGAAAAAAGAAACATAGTTTTCCTCTTCTCTTTCCACCCCCTCCCCGCCCCCTCTCCCTATCCACATCCACTTTTATTCTTTAACTTTTAAGTGAGTACAATAGCATTTCAATCGAATTAGCCAAAAAAAAACAACAAAATATAGTATAAAACAAAATAAACAATACTTTATCTAATTGTTCGCTCTCTTAACTATTCCCAAGCCGAAAAAGTTAGCCTATAAAGTAATAGGCTTACAGTGAAAAAAATATATCTATATACTATTTCATGAACGAGGTATTTGCATCATGTTATAAAGAAGGTTATAGTCGTCCGAAAAAAAAGAGCTTTTAGTTTTTTATGCTATGCTATAGTGTTATGTTAATGAGTAATGCAGAGATCTAACAGCAATATAATAGACTGAAAGACAAGTGGTATTTTTTAAGTAAAGTTAATCATTTTAAATAATTTTAACTCTTTTATTCTATGGGGGAGAATATTTGCTGTTTCTCTCTCTCTCCATATATATATATATATATATATGTACAGTGTAAAAATTTATTTTCTATAGTACGACTATATCTCGAAGAATAGATAAAGGATTTAAAAAGCACTTAAGAAGGAAAAAGTCATAAGTATTTTTCCATCATCCGAATGCTTTAATTACTATTTCTTTTTTTCCTTTGGGATTTTTATTAATAATTTAGGTAGAAGCTATTGTTTTCTTTTTTTTTTACTACTCTATCAAGTACGATATACCTTCTTAGACCATATTCGGTTGGTTATTATAAAATATTCAAAATTTTTAATATTTCATAGTAAATTATCGTTTTCTTTTTGGGATGCTCAAAATTACTTTCTTAATAGCAGCAATTTGTTATATGTATATATATATATATATATAATTTATAAAGAGCGAGAGAGAGAGAGAGAGGATACGAAGAAAAATACCAAGTATCATATTTTTTCAGTTCTTCTTAGTTTCTTCCTCAAAGAAGAGAGCTTACTAACTGTTCATCATTAAATACGGAAGTATCTCAAAAGCCAGAATAAAAAAAAAGGGAAAAAAAAAGTTAATATTTTAAGTATTTTCTTTTTTATTACAAATTACATATCATTCATGAAATGCTCATTTGTTTATTAGGTTTTTATTATCCCTGTTTATTGTGTGTTAACGACTAAATTATTAATTATTTTATTTAATTTTCTTCTCATATGCCTATTAAATGTGAGAGAAAATTACATCTTTGATACACATATTGTTAACTTTACGACATTTGCTACATGTTTTAATCATCAATTTAAATATCATGAGGTAGGAATAGGACAATAAATGTAATTGTAATGATATATACGCTACTGAGTTAGAGCGACAGAAAGTTACTTTCTATGATATATACTGTCTATACCGTATATATATATATATACTGTATATACGGTATATATCTTTCTCTCTCCCTCCCTCTCTGATATACTGTATAGAAAATCAACATTATATACATGATTTACTAACAAATCTGGATAGATGTATAGATATAACTTCATTTCCGTCACCATCTTATGCATTTGTATACTTATGTAAATAAATGTAAACAACATAATAGTACATCACGTAGTACCCATAGCACCTGCTATCTTAGACTGATGACATACGTGATAGTCAACGCGACATAGTGTTAAATCAACATTTTATCATTGCAAATATTGCAAACTATTAATTAATAATAAAGCATTTAACAGCATTATAGTTAACTCAAATAGTATTGTACTTTCAAATAATAAAAGAAAATATTTATCTTCCTACCTCTCTTTCGCTTAGTTTATACCTTCTGTCTCTTGCTATCTCTGCCTCTCTGCCTCTCTCTCTCTCTCTCTCTCTCTCTTTCATTCACTCACCCATACTCTTTCAATAATATAGAATAGATTTTTTATTGATTCTCTTACATTATTTGAAAATATGCAAATAAGGTTTCATTTTAATAGAAACTCTTCAAACAAATAAGAACTGAAGGACAAGACAAGAGATTCAATGTAAAGTTGTATAGATGAAAAACAAGAGAAACAAGGAGAAATTGATGATTTAATCGTATGTTATATATCGAGTTTTTCTATGCGTATAGTTAATTAAATATAGGCCTTTTTTGTAAATGTAAATTGTCCTCGATTTTTGGAAATAACGTAAGAGTAATAAAAGTAATAGTATAATAAAAGCTAATTGTTATAAGGACAAGAGGAAAATATAGTCTCTAATGATGCAATAAAGGAAATGAGAACATATAATAAAGCAAAGTGACGTTCCACCGTCTCCAGCGTGCGTACAATGAACAAACTAATCTAGTTTGCCAGCATCAAATTATTATAAAGTTGACATATCTGCTTACGACCGGGTGCTAAAATTTTTTATGGACTTAATATTTCTACAGTATTCGCATACCTATGTCAAATCAAGCAAAAACTTTTACAGCTCTCATGAATAATAATGAGATATAAAATTGTCATAGGCAAAGAACTATTTCGGAAAAACTGCAACTGACTGCAAAAAAAAAAAAAAAAGAAAAACTGTTATTTCTTAGAAATAGCTTTTTCGTCTTTAAGAGTTTATTTAGTTGATTGAATTAAAAATCATCCGTCATTAGATTTAACTATTTTTTCTCTTAATTAATTACCTCACTGTAAATTTACTTGCTTTATTATTCTTTATACATTTTGTAACATCATCTATCTTTATCTAAACAAAGGTGGCAAAGATTTGATAAAGAATGAATCAAGTTTTTCCCGGTCTAGTTCTATAATTTCTTTTACTGCTTTTATGATATAATACAAATAATTCCAGTTTCTATTCAAAGTGAATAAATCTTTTTCTGTATAGTTTAATCTCTTTGTGAGCGTCTTTTTTCTCCCCGCAAGATGGAGAAAGAAGATAATGAATAGAATAGGAAGAGAGAAAGAGCTTAAGCCTAGAAGTAAAATTTATGATAAATATCTAAATATTTGTTCTGCGAAATATACAGTAAATGTACCGTACTTAGACACTTATACCAGTTTTGGGTATATATTCAACGTGGGTGTAGAGGCCTCGTTACTTAAGAAAATATCAGAAAGGGTTCATTTGTGAGTTAATTTACTATTTCACGAAGAAGGAAAGGGAATAAATTGAATTGTAGACAAAAATCCGGTTTTTATTATACCAGTAAGGAAATAATGAAGTTAACAGAAACGTGCCTCGCGATACTATTTCCACATATAATAAAAAGATTGTTATTTATTTTCATCCATTTTCTATGACTTCTTCCAGTTCTTATCTATGATTTTCTAAGCTCTCGTTCTTTAAATTGATATATCCTGAAACTGAGAGTCATATTAAAAGGAATCACTTTTCCTCTTTGATAACAGCTCCCGTTTATTCGTTGGAATTCTATACTTAATTAGAATTATCGTCTAAAAAACTCTCTTCTATCTATACTTTATATCTTCCTTATTCCCTATCAGTTTGTCCCAAGCTACCTAAAGTACTTTAAATTCACCCATCGCCTCCATAGCAATCTTTTATATATCGCACATACTGGGAGAATAAATTCCTTGTCAAACTGAGGCGTTAAACGTAGTACGATTGTGAAAGGAAATGCGCTTTTTCGTCATATTACTCTGATAAACTGTAGATGGCGTATTATTGCTGTTTATTATGGATTTCAGAACGGTATGACATTTACAAATATTGTATATGGTATACAGTATAGATGGAACTCATTGCTATAATTCAGAAAATAGCTGGAATAGTTAAAATTAAAGCATTATGCCTTTTCATCAAACAAAGCTTATTAATAAATGCTGTAGAAAATTTAAAGGTTCAATCTGGCCCATTTAGTCATTGTAGATAAGATATTTGCAATTCTTGTATTTTTACCTATTTCTTATCATTTATTGCTTAATAAATAATTTTTTGGAGAGAGTACACATTCCTTTCGATTTTATTTCTATTTTTCAGCTAAAAAGTGATTAAAATGCTTATGTTTGGAAAACAAATTTGAATGGAAAATTCCGTCTCCTTGCCCTTGTTCCCTAAAATTGAATTGATTTCCAATGTAAAGTTATAATTTTAAAGAACCCTTTGAATTTTTTGTTTTTAAACTAGAAAAAAGTCCCTTAGTCAGCTAAAAAAAAAGAAGAAGGAGAATATTATTCGATTTAAATGTCGTTTCTTTTTGTTTGCAATAAAAGAATGAAGAAAAATGTGAAAGAAACGATTCGTAATACTTTTATAATTAGTTGAATAAAAAAAAGTGTGGAAAGAAAGATATGATAGAAGTTCTACATGACAGATTTTAAATATCTACTGTGTATGTTTATTAGTATGCTGAAGCCCACTTACATTGCGTATATACTTTACATTAATAACTTTTCTTATTAGTCAAAGGTTAGTCATTTTGTTGAATTGAATTTGTAAAGGTACCGCCTAAGGTTAGAGGTTAGGTCGGAAAACACGGTTTTGACTAGACAGCGCCTCTCGTCCGACAGGAGAATTAGATATTTTTTGTTTTTGGGACGAGAAGGAAAATATTGAATGAATGGATCATCTAAAGCTGAGAAATTAGTTTTAACTGCTTTAATCTATATTTCTCAAAAAAAAAACAAATATTTCTCAGTGAATCACTTTCTTTGTCTTAATTTCCTGTTTTTCTTTATTTCCTGTCAATAATCTATTGAAGTGATGTTTCTTTTTCAATCGTTAACGACTATCAGCGAAGGTGAAGGCAAAACTTCTTTTATATATTATGTTGGTGTCAGTAATTAAAACCTACCGGACAAGAAAGCTAAGGTCGATTTCTGAGAAAAGGTAGAGTAAGAGAGAGAATGAAGATAAAGAGTGAAAACTAAGAATAAGTTTTTCTGCTTCGTCCACAAAAAAAATATGACCTTGTAGTTTTTCGTCTTTCTTTCTAAAGGTGATTAGAGAATGAAGTGAAGTTAAAGTTTAATTCTAAATAAACGTTACTATAAACTATCTACTTAAAATCTGGCATGGTACTCTAATGAAATTCTCTATATTTAGTCGAGAAGAACAAGGACTCATTTTATACCAATCTTTCATTATCTATAGAAAATGTCAAAGGGTAACCGTTGTTCGTGAATATTATGAATAATACATTAGATTAAAAGAAATATAGAATAATTATATGTAGGCTATTTTAATATCTTAATGGTTTGATAGACTAATTTCTTATCACTTTGAAAAAATTTGAGGAAGTTATTAGTAATGTTATTTATTGAATTCGAATCATGAATGCAATAGCGATATACAAGTTTTAATTAAAAATAAGAATTATTAGTATTATTCCTATTTTCTTTGCCAAATTAAAAATCAATGTTAACTACCTGCTAACTTTACTTTGTTTAAAATTCTACAAGTGACACTCCACTTAGACCCAGAAGCAGAATGAAATTCGTTACGCACAAACCAAAGCTTGCATGAAGATTTTTTCCAGAAAGCTGTCCAGCATAAATAGCAAAAGCTATCATTGTGCATATGGCTAGTAGGTAAAAAGGGTTTGTAAAGTATTAAGGCGATTAATGGAAATGCAAAGAAATTGTGATGATTTCAGCACTTCTCTTTTTGATTACCTGCTACGCCATAGGAAATGGCAAGGCCTATCTTCTTTCTTTGCTCTGATTGACTCGACAAAAGAGTTAAAAATGCGATGATCAGACCCAAAACTGCTATCAAGACTATCAGACCAATAAACATAAAGGCTATAACTGCTCTAATTGCGTCTATAGACAAGATATAAGACAAAGAAAATTGTCAAATAGAAACTTATTATAAAATTATTGAAAGAAAAAACTAACCTTTCTTGTATTCAACATCCCCACACACAGAGACTGAGCTTACGGTAGTACAAACTCTAAAGAGACCACTATATAAATATGGGGTCTTGGTCCAGTATGGTAAAGCCAAAGACAAAATATGCAAAAGAATTACAAGTGAGGTAGAGCCTAAGAGAACAACTTGTTTCAAAGGTACTTTCTGCATTATTGAGAATTGATCTAAATAGAATTTCGCAGTGTTAAATAAGTGTTTCTATTGTAGAGGAGAGAACTATTTTAATTCAATATCCTTTTCTCCTCTAGCGTAACCTTTCCTATCAGCAGAATCGCATAAAGTGAGCAATATATTTGTAAACTATTCGTATGAAATTGGAGTCATCATTTAGAGATAGCGATAAACGATATCAGTTTTTGTTATTCACTGTAGACTATTCTGTCAACCAGAAAAAAATCGTTAGTGGCCTTATTATATATTAGATAAGTAATAAGGGATATTTTGTATTACGACTGTAATATATATTTATAAAATAAGAAAGAAACAAGAAATAAGCACTCTATTATATTATTGGTATGTAAAAAGAAACGCAAAGATACGTAAACCTCAATATTAACCTTTGCCTGATTCAGAAGATATAATAAATTTAATCAAAAAGGATAGGTCTATATTAAATTATTAATAAACTTATGTAATATATATATATATATATATATATACTGTATATATACAGAATATATTTAAATCATTAATGAAAAGTTTGATATATGATAGAGGGAAGATTAACATTATTTAAATCCAAATTGATAAATACTATTTGCTGTATATACAATATATAAATGTATATATCTATATATCTGAATAGGTATAGTTATACACAACAGATGACGCTATAAAAGTATAAAACAAACAGTACATACAGTGTATATTACTATACTTATTAAATAATAGATATTTTTTTTTATATGCTAAATAGCATTGATTATATAGAGATAGAAGATGCTATTACTTGTCATGCAATTAACTTTAATGTGAAATTTATAATTAAAGCTTAAAGAGGAATTAATTTTATTTCAGTAAAGACATTAAATTCAATTCTATAATGTATATTAACTTTATATTCTCATGTTTAGAATTAATTAGCTCCCTCTATAAAGAAAACATCTCTTTTTGAAGAGGTTTTCGTCTACTTTAATATATGGTTTATTTCCAAAATATAAATAAATATGAACATTTAACACTAAACAATAAAATAATGACTGGTAAGCAAATATAGAAAATGGCACTTGTAATGTTGTGATAACTACAGAAGAAGTTACTCAATAGTTTGAACAATAGTTTTATTACCAATACAACAAAAAATGTATTAATTACTTCGATTTCGTTTCAAAAGTATATATTGATTTCTCTCTCTCTCTCTTTTCTTGGAAACAACTTCGTATATTTAAATAATGGTCAAATCTAATTTGAAGTATAGCTATTCTCATTATTAATTATTTAGTATTCTAAGGAAGAAAACAGAATTTGATAAGACTCTTTAAAGATTAATAAGAGTAAAACGAATGAGAGAGAAAGGAAAAAAGAAAGAATTACAAGAAACTTAGGACTAGCGGAAATCCTTGAGCAAGAAAAAAAATAGTATAAGAGTATGGCTGGCTGTGGTTGTTCACTTAGTAAATGCTCCACAAGTATAAACTTTCATCAAATAATATCAAAATATGGCAATAGATTCCTATAAAAATATTTTTCCTGTTATAATCTAAAGAGTATGGCATTAAATAGATTATTGAATATAATATGTTAAGAGACGCTTTCCTGTGTCACGATACATTTTACCTATGCAATGTAAACATAAAAATAGAAAGAAAAAAATGTGTCTTTTTCAATAAAAATAAAAAATATCTATTGACAATCTACGGAATTGACCATAAAGCCGTTTTAACTAACATCTGACATACATACATTATATACTGTGTAGTCGTGTATTAAACTTTTACCTTTGTTATATGATTAAACAAAGGCTTATATAGAGTTTGTTATTTTAAATCAATTATATATACTCCTTGAAGAGATGTAATATATGAATATACATATATATATATATGAATATACATATATATATATATATATATATATTGTACGAGAATATGCAAATTATATCTGAAAAACTCTTCAATAGACATTATTTCAATCAGTAAATTAATAAGAGAATGGTATTGTATGAAAATTAAGTCATTTACAAATGAATCTTTAATAAAGGGATTCTCATCTTTTCTCGTTATTTCACTTCTCTCTTCTATTACCAATCTATGTTATCATACTAATCAAAACGATAATAAAGATATCTTGTATAATTAACCTTACTTTATTCTTTTCCCATACCCGACCAATTGTATAAGATTTTTATGAAAAGAACATTTATCTCTAGTGTAGTCGGACATTTTTCTTTAGTACGTAGAAAGAAGAATAAGATATCATCGGGATGGGAAACGTTTTAATGCTTTTGTCCAATATATATATATATATAATTATTAAATAAGAAAGGAAGAGAGAGAGAAAATCTTGTGTTTCTTTTTCAACATAACCCTTCTAAATGTATTCTTTTCAATCATTCTCCTGATAAATTTCTATCATAGTTGACCTCCTCAGAAGTCAATATCCTCATTACAAAGCGTCTAGTTTGCTTATATCTGTGTATTTTACCTAATTTTGTTTGTTAAACCTGCAGAATAACGAGGGGAGAAATTTTATAAGCGAAAGTTTTAAGTCACGAGTTCATTGGTGGACAGATAAAAATAATGTGAAAGAAAAGAAAGAAGAGTCTTTTAAAAAACTAAGGCCTTGTAAGATGTAATGAGCGGATAAATCCAAACAAAGATGTCCTTAAAACATTAAAACATTGACCTTAAAATATATATTAATATAGAGATTTAATAAGAATTTTTCATCATAACCTTAGGATTTTCAATGATTTTTAATCAAACATGATAAAGAAGATGTAACGCTGCTTAATGAAACAATTAAATTGATGTATCGTTCGTAAGGTGGAGTAGTTTATTTAAGGAAATTGCAAAAAAAAGGATAACATGCTTCTCTCTCTCTCTCTCTGTCGTTCTCTTCCTCATATTCTACTTTTTCTTCCCTTCCATTCGTTCATTCATTCATCTATAATATCTTTTCTAGTTGTTTTTCTTATAATCATTCTGTGCAGGTTATTTAACAATTCTAACCATGAATCAATGCACGAAATACTTATTCAGAAACTATGCTTTCTCCTTTTTTCTAATGCGTGTTAGGTATCTCAAATTTCTATTGCTAAATAAGAGAATATGTATATTCTTAAACAGAAAATATTCCTAACAAATATATGAGAAAGTGTACAATTTCCAACAAGTTTTCATCAACTTTCTACTCGAATTTTCTTCCTAAACGTTCCTTAGCTTTTCCCTTTTGCTTTCTTCCCGCATCATTATTATTTTACTCTTAAAGGAATGTATACAAGATGTTTGTTTATATATATTTTATATTATTGTTTCATCTTATTCTCTCCAATTACCAAATCGGTTTACTGTCTATTGATTTTGCAGTATTTTTAAGTCTTGATGAAAAGATATAACCCTATGAAAGAATGATCGAATAAATGAAATAGAACAAGAGTTTATAATCTTTTATCGATATAATTTCAATGGGAAAGCAATTAAGAAGGGTATAGAAGTATCGGGGGAAAAAAGGGAGGTGGTGGGGGGGGGGAGCTAGAAGAGAAGGTAAAGAATAGAAAAAGACAGTTTAAAAAGAAAGTTTATATTAATTCGGTTCTTGGATGAATAGATGTTTGGATATTTGCGCAGGTTCTCTTGTTGATAAACAAAAAAAGTAGTAGACGCAGCTTTTGAAAACTAACAAAATAAAGAGGAAAAGAAAAAACACCAAGTATAGATCACGTAATATTTTCTTAGATATGTGATTGATCATTTGCGGTTTATAAGCCTAATTTATCATTACTTAAGATATTGGTTTGGATAGTAACTGTTCCTGTCCTTTTAAGAGTAATAGAGCAACAATTAATCGACAAACCACCAAAGAACACACAATTAACTAGAGACTTGAGTTAATTGGCTATGATATAATATTTCAAATACAAGTAGATGGCGCATTGTATATTGATCAGACTACTACTGCTGTGCACGTTCAAAATTATGAATATTAATGAACTCTCAATTAAAATTTCTAAAGCATTTGTTTCCTACTCTGTTGAGTGCACACACGCGAGAACCTCACACTACCAGCGCCATCTAGTTAAAATTGACCGGCCGTAGGCTTTCAAACGCTTCGTGCACTGATCTAGACAATGGCGAACTGGCAGGAAACGGATGATGCTTTAACTTTAGCTAGTACAAGTAAGATGCATATTCTTTTTTTTTTAATTTTACACTAAAATAACTATTCATTTGTATACTATAAAAGAAAAATAATAATTAAACTAAGCAAATCCTACCTGTTATGTATATGCACACATTGATATCGATCCGTTCTGCAAATTTTTTCTGCATCGAATTCTCTTTTTAGTTTCTCTCTCTCTCTCTCTCTCTCTCTCTTTCTTTCTTCAATCACCAAACCCTGCTTAAGTCATCTCTTCCTCTTCCCATTCTTCTTTATATTCATTTTTCACATCTTTTACGCCAGCAGTTATCGTTTTCCTTTGCGTCCGCTCCATATTTTTCTCTCTTCTTATTTCTCACCTTTTTCTTTCTCTTTGTACTTAGGATATTTATTTCCTTCATTCCGTCTCATTCTCTAGCCGTATCTGTCTCCAGCTTCTTTACGTTATCAATTATTCAGTACGTACCTTTTCCCATTGCACCTGACCGCTTTGCAAAATTTTTCCAGATTACTCCATAATCAGTAACCAACTATGTGTTTGGAAAACGAACAAAATGGTTTCCCTATTTTCCTTTCCTTTTACATTGTTTTGTGTTTGTAGGCCGATTGATGAGTTGCTTTCTCAACCTTTTTTTTATTACCTTCTTCCTTTTTTGCAATAAGTTACTTAGCGGCTGCTAAGACGAAAAGAGCAGTTCTTCTAGCAATTGCTTTAACATAATTTTTCGTTTGCTTTTATTATGACCCGAGCAATATTAAATCTTTCCTTTATTCTTCACTTATCTATTCTACTATCTGACTAGATGTGGAAACATGAACATCTTTTTAATTTAAAGCAGTTAAAAGACTTTTAGTTGAGAAATATATATCTTATATAACGTTTGATTGGTTCAGCTGCCCTCATTTTTTTTAAAGAATTCTGCGTGAGATAATAGCTATTCATAAGATATTGTTACTGATTAT